AGTAAAAGGTATTAATTCCACTTATGCATTCCATAAACTTTTAGGATAACGCAATTGATACCACAGTCGTGTTGGGACACCTCCGCTATTATTCTCCGGCAGCAGAGCTCCGAGGGGCTGGAAAGTTTTTGCCAGACCTATAAGCATTGACTCAGCCCCTTCCACCCTGGCTTCCATGCCCGCCCGCCACATGTGCTGGGGTGGGGGTGGAGGGAGACTCTCCCAGGGACAACACACTCACACACATTCATGCACAGAGGCTCACCTGCAGTCCTACGACCTCACACACTCATGCTCGTACACATCCTGGCCCACTCACTCGCAACACACACAGGCTCACACACACACACATGCCGGCACACTCAATCACAACATGCACTCAGACTCACAGCACACACCGGCCCACACACGCACATGCACACACACTCTCTCTCTCACCCATGTGCAGACACGGTCTCACGCTCACCCCCATATCCTCAGCAGCCAGCCCAGCACATAGTGGGAAGAAGTTGGGTGCTGCGCCTGGGCTCCTATCTGTCCCCGGCCCTGTTCTGGGTGGCAGCCCTGCCCCCCACCCCTTGAAGGGCAGTGACCGCAACCGCATTGGCAGGGCCTCTCAGCCTGCCTGGGAAGGAGGGAGGCTGAGATCAGGCAGGGCCAGGCACCTAACCAGTGTGGCCTTGAGCCTGACCTCAGAGCCCTCCTGAGCTCTGTGAACATCGGCAGGCCTGGCCCGGGGCAGGAGGCGGCTGGCTGCACTGAGCAGAGTTCAAGCCCACAGGGCCAGGGCCAGGGCAACACTGCTCATGCTCTGGCTGCTCCAGGGGCCAGGCTTGGACCTGGCAGCTGACACTGCCCATGCTCTGATGCCCAGGGAGACTGGCCAAGGTCACTTGAAGGCCTGGACACCCTTCCCAGGAGGGATAAAGACACTGGAGCCACCACCCTGGGCCCAGCTTCATTTACCCATTTGTCCTTCTGCCAGGAGGCCTCAGGTGCCTACCCAGTGCCAGGCTGTCAGGTATAGCTCTGAGGGTTCACGCTGTCTCCTCCAAAAGTGCCAGTGCTCCTTGGGCTGGGACGACCTCGGCTAGGCCATTGGAAAGTCCCAGTCCCTGCCCTAAGCAATCGCAGAGCCAGGCTTCTGGCGCCCACCGCGGCCTTTACAGACTGCCCAGACATGGGAGGATGACCCGGCAGCCACGGGTTGGTCAGGCTCAAGACGCAAACCCCAGCGGGCGCCTCTGGTCCATGCCGCTCCCATTGCAGAGTCCCGTCCAAGCTGTCACCAGGGGTCCAACTTCCAAACTCTTCACTGAACGCGAAGTCCTCGCTGGCTCCCCAGCTACCTTCATACCAGCCCGTCTGGGCCTGTCAGAACCAGGATGGAACAGGAAGGCGTGGACATGCAACCTGTGTGTGTGAGAGGTGTGCGTGTCTGTGGTCCATACCTGTGTGGTGTGTATCCACATGTGTCATGTGTGTCATGTGTGCATGTGTGGTATGTGCACTTACATTGTGTGTGCAAGCTGTGTACTGCATGCACATGTGCTGTGTGCATATATGTCCTGTGTACATGTGTGGTGTGTGTGTGTGCATGCATGTGGCATTTGCATGTGTGTGGTGTGTATATATATGCTGTATATGCCTGTAACCTGTGCATGTCTGTGTGTAGGGTGTGTATGCATGAGTGTGTATACGTGTGTGTTGTAGTACATGCATGGTTGTAGTATGTGTATATGTGAACGTGTGAAAGCTGGCCAGTGGCAGAAGGCCCACCCTGAGTGGGAGTCCTGTGGGAGCCTGAGCCAGGCAGAGGCCAAAGACCCCATTAACAGCTGTGACACCCTGAGATGGGGGTGGGGTGTTTTCCTCAAGAGCAGAAAAGAAGAAACGTGGCAGTTTGGAATTGTACTTGAGAAAAATATGCATTATCTATCAGTTACCAGCCGGCCGGCGAGGTGGGAGCTGTGTGTGGAGGCCGGGGCAGCGGGCCCGGCGACAAGCCCAGGCAGCACTGCACAGTTGGACCTCCAGAGGCGGGAGCAGGCAGCCGGCACAGCCTGCCCTACACTACAGGCTGCCAGCCCCGCCCCTCTCTGGGCAAGAGAAGGAGCATGGTGTTAAGGGGGAGGGGGGTGCGGGGGGAGGGCTCCCAGGTAGCCAAGGCGCCAAAATCTCATTATCAACGTTTGTCCCACCCCAGTGCCCTCCACCCCTGCACTGATAGCGGCTGGGGCAGGGCTCAGCTGGAGCAGCCTGGCAGCAGCTCCTGCAGACCCCAGAGGAAGCCCAGGCTGACAGCAGCCGCTGCTCAGGCACCTGGTGGGGGCAGAGCCATTGACCTCAGACATGCCTTCCCTGCTGGCCAGCCACGTGTCTGGTTCCTGGGCAGAGCACCCCATGGGGCCACTCAGGGCCTTCGCCCCAGTCCTGATGCCCACACACCAAGCAGCGGGCATTGGCAGAGGGGCAACGCTCATCCCTATCTGAGGACCAGTTCAGCCCCTCTGAGGCCTTCCAAGCCCTCTCCAGTGAGAGATCCCAACCTTGGGGGAAGGAGGGGAGACAGAGCCCCCCACCTGTCGCCAGCCAGGACTCCGTATGGGGAACTGACCCCCAAACACCAAGGCGAGTCATGTCCATTGACAGATGTCAGTGTTGGGGGCTTCTCCAGTACAGCGGAGGCAGGAAAGAGTCAGAATGTGGAACAGAGAGGCCGTGAGTCCCTGATGGAGGGGTGCAAGTGTGGAGATGCCCCAGGCTTCCTGACCCAAAGCTGAGGTGGGGGGAGTGTCCTAAATCCCTCTGGAGGGTAGCAGAGCCACCAAGAGACCCTTCTAGCCACCGGCAGCCACTGCTGAACAACCTTCTCAGGAGGAACCAGGCTCTATCCGAAGCCCCTTGCAGCCGCCGTCACCACTGCAGCAATAATCCTATGACCCCCCCACCTGGTGATGGGGTACCTCATGCCCTCAGTGCTAGGCCCTGTGATACATCCTGTACAGCACGAACTCCTGTTGCCCCACCAGCAGCACGCAGGAAGGAGCATTGGGAGGATAACTGTCAGGTGATGAAGAGGCACCAGTCCCCATGCCCGCCGCCGAGACCCGGCTGAGACTTAGCATAGAGAGGAGCATGCAGCGGGGTGCTCCCAGCCAGAGCAAGACCCAGAAGCAACGCCCGGGCCAGAGCCCCGCAGTGCCGGGTCAGTGGGCTCTGTCTACCTCCAGCCACCATGGGAAAGCAGGAGCTCCAGCCAGCAGGGCAGTGGAGACGGTGAGGCCTGCGTCTTAAGAGGGACAGAGCATGCACAGTGCTTGTGTGGGCATGATACGGCCACCCTGGACAACTCAGGTGGGCTGAGCTGAGTACCAAGCTGTTACCTAGGCGACAGCTGAGCTAGGGAGCTTTGGGGAGGAGAGGGCGGCATCATGGGGCACCACCTCTGGAACCTCTGAGATGTGCGGAGGGTCCCTAGTGGGCTGGGGACCAGGGCAAGACTCATGCTCCCAGTGGCAACAGGCAAGGGCACTGGGGCCCCAGGAGCTGCGTTTCTGCCTGTCTCCTGGTCCCTGCACTCAGAGGCGAGCCTGAGGTTGCCCGGGACAAGGGATCAGGGTGGTGAGTTCTGGTGTCGGCTGATTTGAGCTGGGGGGGTGGGGCGGGGAGGGGGGCGCTTCTGGCAGCCCTTTGCTCTCTGAGCAGCAGTAGGAAGCATGGGCCAATGGTACATCTTACATTAGCAAAAAGAGAAGGAAAAAAAGATGGAGGCAAGTGTGGTTTGAGGTAACTTGAAGACATTGTAAGGGGGTTGCAACTTATCTCTGTTAGCGCTCTACACCACGAGGGAGGGGGCGTTCAGTGAGGCAGTGGGGGCTGGCATGGACAGGGTGCCTGCTCTGACGTGTGGGTTCTGACCACTGCACTTCATCGTCTCTAACACTGCTTGAGAAGCAAGGGGCTGCCAGACCCACTTGCCACCCCCTGCCTGGTGCCATGGTGAGCAGGAGCCTCGTCCTGTCTCCTCCCCTGCCCCCCCGCTCCCAGCTGTGAGAGGTGCAGCCTGGTGCGGTGCCCTATGGCAGAGGCTTCCTGCTCTCTCCAGGAGTGGTGACAGTGTCGGAAACCCGTCAGGCACTTCTCCTCGTTACCAGTCGGCATGGGCGGGATATCAGTGCGTTTGTTGGGTTTGTGCTTCGGCATCGTTAGTAACACATACAACATCCAATGCCGCAGCCCCCGGTATGCCCACGTCATCCTGTCTGTGTTGGGATACAGTGCTTCCAATCCCCAAGACAAAGACTGGCTTGATCAACAGACCGCCTGTCAGGCGCTGCCGATAACTCACGCTCCCAGCACAGGGCCCAGGCAGCCCGGGTGGTGGAGTAGGTTACACAATGAGCTGCCAACTGCCAGGTCAGCAGTTCCAACCCATCACCCGCTCTTTGAGGGAAAGAAGGGGCCATCTGCCTCCGTGAAGACGTGCAGCCTGGGAAACCCTGGGTGGCCGTGAGCGGGAGCCCACTGGAGGGCAGCGGGAAGGGTTTGAGTTTTGCATGGTGACCTCTTGAGGTGAGGGCCAGGGCTCCCTTTCCACTGGGGGACCACAGCCTGCTGAGGTGGCAGATCCAACTTTGTCTTTCTCTGTCCCATGACAATGCTTGGGATGGCCACTTGGAGACTGTGGCAGCAGGGGACCAAGAGTGGCTGCCGGGAGGAGGTGACCCCTAGACCCCAGCACCAGCTTCCATCAGCTCTTAGCCCACCCAAGTAGGATTTCAAATCAGAGTCTCCCTGCAGCCCAGCCAGCGGAGGGCAGTCTGGAGGAAGTGGACTGGCAGGAGGTGGGCCCCGCCCAGAGGGCCAGTCACATCCACCCCACCCCACCCCCATCCACCCCCTGCCGGGTGCCCTCTCTGCGCACAGAATGGCCACCCTCTGTGGCCAGCAACAGTCCGGCTCACCCGCCCGATGTCCTGGAGGCTCCGTGCACTCACCGTCCAGGTGGCTGACTTGGCTGTGCTGGACTGCTGAAAGGTGACCTCGAAGTGGTGGGGGCCGGGGTAGTCGGTATTGGAGGGGATGACAGGGGCGGGCGACATGGCGTCGAAGGTGGAGCTAGGCTGGGTGTAGGGCGAGTGGGTGGGCACGCTGGCGGCGTGCTCCGGGGTGTAGGGGCTGGCGGGGGTGGTGCGGCTGCTCATCTGGTCCATGGTGTTGCTGAGCACATTGAACTGGGACTGGTGGGAGGGGGAAGAGGGAGAGAGGCATCAGGCAGAGCCCAAGCCGGCCGCCGCCCCCACCCCACCCACCCAGGTGTCCGGTTACAGGGGCCTTAAAGGGCCAGCCCAGGAGAGCGAGAGTGAGCAAGTCAGCCCAAACATCTCCTCAGGCGCCCCCCCAGCAGGTCACGACTTGTGCTGGGTGAACTGACACAGTCATTTCACCCCCTGCTCCAGCGGGACCTGCCGCCCGGGAGGGGAGGAGCCAGGCCTCCCCTGTGGGCTCCTGCGCAGGGTCACCCCCACACCTCACCATGCAGACTGGGGACCCCAGCTCTGGGAGTGACAGGATGGGTGCAGTCCCAGGGCTCGCTGTGCCATGGGTGCCCAGACAGCCCTCGGACACCAGTCTGACTCCCACATCCTGACCTGGATGGGGGCCGCATGTGTGGCCAGCTGAGCCTGACATACCAGTCTCTCTCCAGAGACCCCTGCCTGGGTCCCTGGCCTGCGCACCATCAGCTCGGCCCTCTACCTGCTCGCTGACCTGGAGTTCTAGCTTCTATACCTCTGCTCTCCCCAGCAGTTGAGACGCCTGGCTGGGGCCACACGCCCCAGAAGCAAGAACACAGGAGCTGGGGTCACGCTCTGTGGGGTGTTGGAGTTGAGGGAGGGAAAGCCAGTTACCCCCGTGTTGGGAAAGCTGCTACCTGCAGGGCTGGCCATGGAGACTCTCCATGCAAACCGTGGGGCTTCTTTCAGGATGTGCGTTTGACAGGGTCCCACCCAACAGCTGACAGATCGAGGCCTCTGATCATCACGGCCTGGGCCCCTCCATCCTCTGCAGGACCCACATGGGCTCTACTGGGGCCCAGGGAGGGCCAGTGACTCCCCTGGAATGATGTATGCAGGATAGAGTTCAAAGGGTCTAAGAGCCCACCTCACCACCACACCCCCCCGCCATCTCCTACCCACCCAGCTCCTCAGGCCCCTGGCCAATGACACAAGAGACCAGCCACCCATGGGGTCTCAAGCTAAAGGCCCCAGGTTCCAGGCTGTGAAGGTGACCTGGGGAGTATCCCTGGTGGGGGACAGACCACAGCGCAGTGGGGCAGAGGCAGAGCTGAGTGGGAGAGTAGATGCTCTGCCTGCACCCCCAGGAACCGTCCTGGAAGGCACGTGTCCCCTCACCAGCCACCACCCTCCCCCCAAACCATCCCGATTAAAACAAAAAGCCGCCTGCCTCTCTGGCCACAGCCAGACAAGAAGGGCATAAGAGCCCCCAGCCAGACCCCAGGGCCCTTCCCTGACCCTCAGTCTCTGAGCAGCCCAAAGCCTTGTCCAGGCCAGCCTGCCAGAGACACTAACTGCCTAGTGTGTCCCCACAGGCTCCTGGGAGCCCCCAGCCCCTCCCAGCATGTACACTGAGGCTGGGTGGTATGTCCCTCAGCAGCAAGTCCAGGAGGAGCCGCCTCTGCTGAAAGCTGCCTGGAAGAGAGGAGCCCAATACAAGGACCAGAGAAGGGAGGGGGACACCCGGCTACTCTAACTCACGTGCACACCCTGCCTCATGACCTTGACCGGCCACTGTCCTAAACTGCGGCAGCCCCTGGGGTGCCAGCTGCTGTCCAGCGTAACTCCCAGCTCAGTGGGGATGGCCACGCTGTGTTCAGCAGGGAGGCCTTAGCTGTCGGACTCAGGTGATGCTGACGAGGACAGAAGTCCAGCAGGTCTCAGGGCCGTAATGGGCAGCTTGCCTGGCCCTGAGCGACCCCACGCCCCCTTCTGTTCTGGTCACTTTTCTGTCCGACCCTCCTGAGCCATCTCTTCCCCACACTGCGGAGGCTTTCCTTCCCCCTTCCATCTGGGCCCCACACCCTCTCCACTGGGTCTCAGTCTGGCTGCTCCTCATCCCTGCGGTGGGTCCCCTGCCCCTCCCAGATCCTGGCTACCCTGACAGGGGTTCGAAGAAGTGAAAGCCCTTTCCTTCCCTCCCAGAGGAAGGGACACAATTCACACCATCCGTGTAGGGACCGGCCATCCTGCTGGCCCTGGGCAGCTGCCAACTAGCTCACATGGAAGTTGCTGGAGGGGGTAAGGTCACCCACCCGACAGGCTTTGGTGGCCCCTGCATCGACTCTGCCTGCTGGTGCCGGGTTTGCCCTCTCTGGGCTGGTGAGTAAGTGACCTGCAGGTGTGTGGGTCATCCCACGCCTTGTGCCATCCCAGGCTCCCAGTCCCCGCACCTTGATGGCCTCCATGTCCAGTAGCCTGCCCTCCCTCCCACCCCCACCCCAGCCTGCTCTATCCCACACCACTGCCACCCACCTGGAGCTGCCTCTGATCTTGTCCTAACTCCTCAATGCTCCCAGTTCCGAGGTCCCCCTCAGGGGGAGTGACATCCTGGCCAACCTCAGCCCAACCCTGGAGTAAATCTGCATCTCTGGAAGGGGACCCTGTGTGTTTCCTACGCCTCTGCCTCCCCCTCTCCCCTGGGCTGCAAGCCCCACCGGGAGAGACGCCATCCTTCATGGGATGGTCGGTGCCACGCTCTGAGCCCCGTCCACATGCAGTGGTGCCGGGACGCTCTGCCCAGGCCTACAGGTAGTCCCATGATTCTGAACCGACTCAATGGCAGTGTGTTTGGTTTTGAGTTTGGGCCTGGGTACAGGCACGGGGTCCAAGGACTCAGCCCCCCAAAGATGGAGAACCTCAGGGACAAGGTTCACACCTGTCACATGCAGAAAGGAAACAATCTCACAACGCCAGCCTCCTTGGACCTTTTCACTTGTGGCTCCTGGGACACTTGAAAGGCCCTGTCTCCCGCCTCCTGTTTCTCTGGACAGGGCTGTGCTGCTAGTGCATTGAGTTGGCCCAACGCAGAGCTGCCCCGTGAGCCAGGAGAGCGGTCCCCCGGGGTTCCTAGGCTGCCATCTTCACAAGAACAGGCAGGTCACCGCTGGCTGGGCTCCAACAGCCGGCCTCTGGCCAGCAGCTCAGTGCTTAACTGTTGGGCCACCAGGGTCCTCAGTGCTGGGCTGGACCAGCAACAATGTCCGCTGAGCCTGTTGTTAGTAGTAGTAGCCTCCCTTCCAGGCATAGAGAGTCCTGGGTGTCGAAAGTGTTTGCATGCACTAGGCTGCCAACTGAAAGGTGGGATGTTCGAGTCCCTCCAGTGGAGCCTCAGAAGGAAGGCCTGCTGATCGACTTCTTTAAAACTCAGCTCCTGAAAGGCCCCTAGATGGAGAGCGAAGTGACCAGAACCGAAGGAGCCGTGGAAACACCTCGTCGGATGCACCGAGGGACCCTGCAACCATCGGTCTCCACCATCCCGAGACCAGAACTAGATGGTGGCCGGCCACCCCCCGCCCCCCAACTGCCCTGAAAGGGACCACATTGGAAGATCCTGAGTCCAGTGGAAGGAGAATGCAGAAGAAAGCACAAAACCATAAAAGAGACCAGGCTTCCCGGTTGGATAGAGACAGGTGGGACCCCTGAAACCATGACCCTACATCACCCTTCAGGGCTGGAACGGAGCGCTCCTCCGTGTTAGAATAACCCACCAGTGGCCAACCAAAGGGCAGCACTGGCCCCAGGACAGAGCTCAGGGCGTTAGGGAAGGCGGAGGCTCAGAAACAGGAAACACAGAGAGGAGGTGGGAGAGGTGCTTGTACATCGAGCGGATTGCAAGAGAGGCATTGAAGCAAAAGGTTTATGAGCTGTTGGTGAGCCGATGGATGCCCTGCTCTGTAAACCTCCACCTCGTGAGAATCGGAGTTTGCTTTTTTAAAGAAAGAGCTCTCTAGATTGTGCACGGGGTGGCCGTGAGCTGGCGGCTGAGGGACAGCAGCCAACGACGATCAAGAGGGTGTAGACTGCTGCTTCTTACAAAGAGGTCCTCAAGAGTGTTAGTGAATGAAGGAGGGGACCAATGAACGCATGGATGGGTGATGAAGGTGGATGCGATGGACCAATGAAC